TTGAGAACGAGCTGGGAGTGCAAGCACCGGTTGGGTCACTCTGCTGGATTCGATTTTGGATTGATCAGCATCCGATTCCCAGATCTTTTGAAGTAGCAGGTATAGTCTATAGTGATTTATCATAATCCCCAAATCGATAGAAACTGTTTCCAATATATTATTTTGGTGGGGGTCTACCTTTCTACCTATTTGGAGGTCTATATTATATCGAACATTATTACTATATGCATGGTATATGTACACTTTCTGCAGACTCCGACCAAACACACGGTGTTCCTCAGTCTTTTCCCGGAAGAAGCTTGGCGAAGCAGCAGTCTTCCTACTATGGAAGGACTTCTTTGTCACTGAAAGTCAAAGCAGTTGAACGTGTTGGTGTTGGTACAGATCCGGACGAGATGCTAGCATCCAGAATCTTCAGAAGGACAGATAGGTGATTCTTCTCTCAGGTCCTAACAATCTGTTTCGGGAGTGCAGCACAACAAGTTCCTCTTGCTTTGAACCAACAGAGTGAATAAAAGTGACACTTTGGAACGAGGTTCTGGGATATGTGGTTTCGCAACCTAATGAGCACATCCCTGTCCCATATGATAACACTCCTGCTGATTATGTTCCCCCCACTATTGATAGTACAACTCGCATTCGTCAGCAACTCAGACAAAACCGTATTGATGATGCCTTCCAAACCTGGTGTGACCTTGCGCAAGACATGCTTCACAAGATCCCACACACACTCAACTCTCGTGTCATGTATGACACGGGTAAGCACAGAGGTCAAGTTCGTTTCCAGAGGCAGTGTGTCGTTCCCCGTCAACGAGACGCACATTCCCTTAACCTACGCTCCAGACGTATTGCCGATGCTCTTGGCAGAGTCCAAGAGTTGCTGCGATCGCCATGTTTTGGACAACAGAGCTTGAATACATGGAAAAGTCTAAGCAAAGTCTTACCCAGTCTTGATACCCGTGACCAATTAGCATTCTCGAAATTTATTAATGATTCCATCCACACTGATGCCCTTCTTTCTTGTGCACAGATCCTTCGTCAAAACCTTCAGGTCTCTCAAGCTAGTGACAAACAGGCCCGGATCAAAGCTTGGAAGTCCAAACTTGCCCAGTCTGAGAAGCATGCCTACCAGTGGCTCAAGTCCCCTAATACCCCGGTAGACATCACCATGAAACTACCATCTGGTATTTTTACCGCCAACACCGAATCACAATTGGATGCGATTCACAACGATTGGCTCCCGATCTTCCAAAAGTTTGCACAAACTTTGCCTGATATTAAGACTTTCGAAGAGCACTTTGTACCATTTATGAAAACATCACCAATGGCACTCTCTCCACTCACCGGCCCTGAACTTGTCCAAACCCTCGCGAGCTCCAAAAACAGTTCACCTAGCCTGGACGGTTGGTCGCCTCAGTCCTTGATTGCACTTAGTAAATGGTTCCCATGTCTCTATGATGGATTAGCGGATATCCTTAATTGGATTGAAGAGCACTCCATTTGGCCCACCCCATTATGTAAGGCGTATACTGCTTTAATACCAAAGGATGGTATGTCTGATTCCCCTAAACCCGTGGATTTTCGTCCCATTTCGGTTCTTAGTGCCATTTACCGCTTATGGGCAAAAGCCCGTTTCAACCTTTCTCTTGAATGGCAGGAACAGTGGTGTCATAAAGAGGTATGGGGTTGTCGTAAACAAAGAGGGGCCGAAGCCATGTGTCTTCAGATTGCACTGCGTCTGGAGAAGTGTGCAGTTGAACAACAGTCCGCGGCAGGAGGAGTCGCCTATGATTTCCGCAAAGCATTTGACCTGGTCCCCTTCGAGCTGCTTTTCAGTGCCTTGGTTGCCAGGGGAATGCATCCGAGAATTGTCAACCCACTCAAAGCCATTTACAGCTCATTGCACAGAGTCTTCCGTCTTAGAGGTTCCTGCGGACCCTGGTGGTCTGCCAACAACGGCCTTTTACAAGGTTGCCCCTTGTCAATGATAGGACTTACCCTAAGTCACCGAAATTAGTAAATTTACATTTTTATTGGATTTACGTAAATTGATGAATTTAGGTGGCAAAAAGTGTAAATGGGTTAGTAAATGTAAATTTGATTTAGGTACAACCTAAATTTATTTAGGTTGGTCTTCACTAAGGGTTTTTCCTATTTTTTCATTACTTTTTGATTTGCAAATATTCAAAACTGCATCTAAAACACATCTTTTGAAGAAAGTAATTTGTAAAACATATAGCCACAAGTAGAGACATTTGGATAAAACCACAAGCACACACACACTCAGGTATAAGCACACAGGAAAGACAAGCACAAGAAAAATGACTTGGGTGAAACTGAAAAGCAGACATACTCAGGTAAACACGTTCCCATTTGGAAGAACATGTGGCCACACAGTGTTTTGGGCTGCTACTTTTTGGTCAGCTGCTGTTCCAGAAAACTTCCTCTAACTTAAGCATTTTTTTTCCTGAGGTGCAACAGGTGCCTGTACTTGAGACTGGCCACCTTGGTTGCCCCCCAGTGCTTGTTGCCTGCAAGGCAGCTTTTCATCAAGGTCTGTACAGCCCTCATTGTTTCCTCTCCTTTGAAGCACCATGTGACTGAGGGGTGTATCGAGTTTGAAAGAAGAAAGCTGTGTATACAGAAATGTGTCTTCGAGGTCATATTAAACAATGGCGTCTCCTCAGTGGCAAAATAATCACGCAGTTGGACATGCACCTGTGCCATTTGAAGGCCTTTGGTCACTAGTTGGCTGTACTGTGGTTCAGGCACACACATGTAGCCATACTTGGGAGCATATTCTCTCAACATGCTTTGAATGTCAACATTCAGCTCCAAGAAGAGAGAGATGAGCTGGTGTTGCCTGAGTGGTATTTGTGGCAAAAGATTGCTAAAGAAAGGTAACATTGTTCTGTGGAAAAACAAAAAGAAAAATATACTAAACAGGGCCACAGGTGCTCATTGGTTGGGTCTTTGTACTCCTCCCAACAACTTTTCATGGCCAGGTCCAAGCCCATAATATCTGCTGCCCTTCCTTTCAGTTTGGGGAAACCAGATTTCCTGACAAACATAGTGAGCTTAGTGAGCCTTTGCCTGTACTTGTGGCGTGTGTTGTCAGTTTTCTGAAAAGATTTGATGAAGCGGCCCACTGTGAGCAAATTTTGGAGTGTGGCTCATCATCCAAACACTCATGGGTCAACAGGTAAAAGACACTGCCATAAGCAAATTGAAGCCAACCAAGGAAGAAGTTGTGCATCAAATCAAGAGCCACACTGTGTGCAGTCATCCCTGGCAAATCAAAGAGTGGACAAGAACTTTGCCAGTGTTGCTTCCAGTTCCTTGCTGTCAGGCCTGTGCTTTGCCAGGGAGAGTTCAACCTGTTGTCCATCCAGCTGGAAGGCCCTGCAAATGTACATCTGCACTGGCAGCATGGCTTTGAGTGGTTTGTGGAGACTGGCACTCCCAGCCACTTGCTAAAATAATCAAGGTCTCCACAAAACTGCACCAAAGCCGCACAATACCCTCCTGCCAGCCAACTCCCAGCCTTTGCCCCTTCTGGTGTGTTTGGGTCATAGGGAATGCCTCTGAAGTCATGGGTGGGCCACCTACCTGTCCACAAGGCTTCAAAGCTCCACCTCAGCAAAGACCAGAATGTGTGCATTGTACCAAGCTTATTGGAGCTCGAAGGGGCAACAAACTTCTCAAAAACTGCCCAAATAAACATCATAATATCAGCGCATTGGCCTCCCAGGGCATTGGCTATCATTGAGGACCATGAAAAGCTAAGAGCTGACCTGCTCCAAATCTTCCCTATGCCCATTACTGGGACCTCATCTCCATGGATGCTCAGAGGAATAAACTTGTTTTTCCAATCTTTTTGCTTTTGGACTGGATGGGCTTGCATTGAGGGATGTTTCTGGAATGCAGTCCAGAAATCTGGAAGCTTCTCAGCATCTGGCAAAATACTTTGTCTCCAAATTTCATCTTTTTCAAAGCAAGCAGCAAAATACTCATGTGGCAGGAGAACATGAGCTTCAGCAGTGCCATCACTGTAAGGCATGTCAATTTTGAAGGGTGGAGGCATAGAGGATTTCCTAGCCAGCATTGTATGCACTGATCTTTTCAAAGTTCGACCTTCCTGTAACTTTGCCAAGTGGTCCAGGTCAGGAAATTCAATTCCTTCCTTGGCTGCCTCTATATCTTTCTTTGCAGCTTGTGCAATCTTATGGCACAAAACACCGGACATAATGCCCTTGGCAAAAAAAGTCATCAGAAGTGCACAGAGAGCGCTCTCTTGTTGCACCTCTTGCTTGGCTTGGTTCAGCCTTTGTTGCAGGCCTCCTTTTCTCTTTCTTTTTTTTGTAGCAGGAGAGGCTTCCATGTGGTCAGAGGGAAACCCCAACAGAAGATGAACACTTTGGGCCAAAAGGCAATCTAGAAGATACAAAATCAATCACTAAGTGAGACATGTGCAGAGAAGCACAAGCTCATGTAAGAAAATGTCACTCTCAAGTAAAGGATGACATGCTCAAGTAAAAGGCTTTCTCATGTAAAGGATGACATGCTCAAGTAAAATAGCATTCTCAAGTAAAGGATGACTTGCCCAAGTAAAAGGGCCTTCTCAAGTAGGGCATACCATGTTCAAGCAAAGGGTCATTGTCAAACTCAAGACTGCTCCAAACTGAAGGCAGTTTTTCCAGAATGCCGCACAAGCTAGGGTCTGGTCTCAAGACTTTTCTAAAGTAACAGAACTGCTCAAGTGGTCCTCTTGGACCTGGCAAGTCGAGCGCTCAACTGCCCCTTGATGCCAGCAACCTGGTCCTCAAGCTTCACAGCCCTATTGCCACTGCCTTGGATAAACTCGTCATACTTAGCACCAGTGAGGCAAGAACCATCTGGAAGTTCCTTCCAGCTGAGCACATGGTCCACATCGCGCTTCTCATTCATGATGCTCATGGCCAGCTCTTTCCTGATGCCAAACACAAGATAGGGGTGAGAGAAAATGTGAGGCTTGACTTGAGAAGTCGTTTACCTGGGAAGGCATTGGTTTACCTGAGGAAATCTTTTGTTGAACATAAGTTGGAAACACTGGTTTGCTTGAGGAAACCTTGACATGAGAATGCTTTGGTTTAGTTGAGAACACATGGTAGACAAAGGATTACTTGAGGAAGTCTTTACTTGAGAATTCTTACATTAAGTCTACCTGAGCAGAGCTTTACTTGAGCATGTTCCAGGGTTCAAGAAAATAGAGCACCAAATGTTTTCCAATTTAAATACATTCAAAGCTTCAAGGTAGTCCAAAGAGGATCTTCCTTTGCGTCAACACCTACATCTTGCAGGCCCTTCCTCACATCCTTCTCAAGCTTCTCATAGGCCCTTTTTGCGTCATGAAGCTGCTCCTGTGCTTTCTTCCAGAGAGACTCCCCCAGTTCAGTCTCTCGGTCGCACAGGGCAAGTGGAGCGCTGCCAGAAGAAGCTGCATCATGGAGAGCCTTTGTCTTGTTCCTGGAGAAAAGACCGCCCCTCCAAGAGTCAAAAGCTCCAGCCTCAACCTGCTTCTGGTTCTTGTCGAGCTCCTGCTTGGCTGCCATTGAAACGGTTGTAAGAGAACCCCTGCTCTCAACCTGCTCCAACTGGGTCCAACTGTAGACAAGGCGACCACTGCTGTCCCTGCTCTCAAAGAACTCACCATCCTGAAGGCCCTGGAGAAACTGCTCATCTTTCAAGTTGAATTTGCCCATGAACAGCAACTTTGGGAGCGCTTTGTCCTTGGTACTCGACTTGCTTTGGGAGAACTGCTCGCGCATTTGGGCAAACATGGGCTTCTCAAGGTTGACCATGAGCTTTCCATCCTTTGTCCTGTCCAGGACTTGGTTCACTATCTTGCGCTGTTCTTCTGTGCGTCCCTTCTTCATGCTCAAGGTCTTCTTCCAGGCCTGCACAACATAGTCTGGCAAAGAGCCCTCAGACAACAAGGCCTTGAACTTGTTGTCCTTCGACCTGTCCTTCTTGGCCTCATCGCACTCGAAGAAGTCTGCATTGTCCAGCTCCTCCTCCTCCTCCTCCACATTCTCTTGGTCATCCTCTTCAACTTCTGGTGCTTCCTCCTCCTGATCCTCCTGCAACCCTGCTGCCCAGCCATGAGCTGCTGGCTTCTTCTTTGGTACGGTTTCTCCACTGGCAGCAGGCCTTTTCAAAGAGCCTGCCTTTGGCTTTGGCTTGCTCTTTCCTTTTGCTTTGGGCTTCTTCCCTTTAGGGGTCTTTGCTTTTGGGCTCTTTGCTTTTGGGCTCTTGGATTTTGGGGTCTTTGCTTTGGAAGCTGGCCTTTTCTTCACAGGTGTACTGGGATCTTCAACTCCACCATCGTCCTTCTCCTCAGGAGTGACTGTGCCCATGGGAATCTCTTCCTCTGCCATGCCAACAAGCTACTGCACCTATCTTTCAAATCTTTCAAAGCTCTTTGAGATCAATCTAGCTGCAAAAGTAAACAACAACCATCAAGCCAGCTGTGCAGTAAATTCTCAACAACTTCAGTTTGAACAACATACAATGCTGATCAACTCTTTGTGCAAAAGCATTACCTTCTCAGGTAAAGGATAAACCAACTTCAATTTGAACAACATACAATGCTGATCCACTCTTTGTGCAAAAGCATTACATTCTCAGGTAAAGGCTAAACCCACAAGAATGCTAGATATGTTTTTGCTGACAATATGATGCAGAGTATCAAAACTTTTCATAAAATCTGTCAAAAAATTATATGAATTTTTGATGCACTTCTGATGTACTTTTGATGTACTTTTCAAAAGTGTATACACTTTTGATCAAAAGTGTA